TGAGCCAGTGGACCAGCTAATCGTGCGCACAAACGATAACCTTGGAAGGCAATATTAGTGCATTTTATGAAGATAGGATGTTAAAAAGGGAAGTCATTCGAGAGGCGATTAGATCTACAATATTACCACACAATGTTGTAGATAAAGTGCAACCTAAGATTTACAGCTGACCTAATTTTGCAGCCACGTATATGCATTTAAATCACGAACAGCCATAAAAAGTTCTACAGGTATTTTAAGATTTAATTAGTACATATAAGCACAGGAATTGCAATAGTTTGTGTTTTTTGGGGAATTGGTAACCACAAAATTGTCTATATACCGCGCAAAAGTGTCACCTTGTTCTAAAACTTCATTACATTTATCTATAACATCAAACAGGCTTATAAAGTAAACAACTGAACTGGTTATCTTAAAGGCTATTAGCTGCTCCATTGTTTTATCCCAGTGCTGATGTGGGCTCTTCGAGCAATTCAACGGCGCTGCGATTTCGGCCAGGCGGGTTCTATTTGTTTTGACGAAAATCCCACTAAATGTTGGACTTTTCTCCGTGCCAATTACGCTTCAGGCCTTATATCAGGCAAGAATGTGCCTGTTCCTTATAAGGCATTATCTGAAGAACATGATGGTGTTACCAAACTACACTAATTACAAATGTCGCCTTGCCATTTCTTCGGGCATTGCTCAGGTAAAAATGAATTGTGGTTCATGAGTTGCTGTTGGCTGCACCCTTTCAAACAAACAGTTTTAGGTGTCTGGGTAGCCAGTCCTTTGCATCTGGGTGTACCTCAAGCAACAAATGACGTCGTAGCTGAAGCTTCGATGAAGTGGTTGCTGAGTTCCTACTTTGCATGTTTCACAATGAAACCATTGGTACAAAATCGAGGATTGGACTTTCAGTTAGTTGTGAAGAAGTCCATGAGTGATTAGTATTCTACGTGTTTCATGAGCACATGGTAGTCCACCGGCACCGATATTATGACAATCTGGATAATGCAACTTTTGCTGTGCAATGATTGTGCAAAGACAGGCGGATTAAGAGTGAAAGCAAATTGCTGCCTACGACATGTACACTGGACCAGTTGATGCACAAAGGGCATGGTAGCAACTCATGAATTCCAATCCATTCTTAACTGAGTAATGTGCGAAGTAGTGGCACGTGCGTGATTTGCAGTTGGTGTTGTTCGGTAATGCCTTCATGCTTATCAGAGAATGGTTAATGAGAAATAGGCACATTTTTGTCGAATTTTGGGTCCAGAAAGTCACTAGTGAATGTCGGTGAACTCGGTACAAACCTACGAGGCTATCAGCGTCGTATGTTTCTGCAACTGCTACAACCTCAACAACAGAAAGTGAGTTGCCGGGCCTTCCCTACCCTTGCTCATTCTGCTGCGGCAATTGGATGTTATTTTAATCCACCATGGCACATGTTGATGCAGCAGTTTGTCTTATTTATTCGCACTATCACATCTGACTTATTCATGAAGTCTATAAGACGAGCGAATCTGAAGGCGGCTTTATAATAGATGCACAAGGAGTCTGGGAAGTTTGTAGTATGTGCTTTAATGCCACCAGTGCGATGGTTGTATTTCTGGATTTGGAAGACGTTTGTGTGGCGAAATTTGCGACAGAATCAAACGTGGTTCTATTGTATCTCTTTCGGCGCTTCACAAGTGGTCAAACCGCTTTAGCTGTTGAAAGTCTTTCAATGAGTTGTGATTAATCCCGAGGCAAGGGAGAATAATGGTGCTAAAATTACTTCAGGCGGCGTGATGCCTGCTTGTGCTACGGATTAAAGGACAGTTTTTAGTGTCACTTCCTTTCTTCCCTTCATCCTTCCTTGCTTCATTTTTTCAGTGGTGCTAAAAGCTGGTCGCTGTTTTGTAGCAAGGTCACTTCGTGTGTTGATCACCTTTTTGTGGCCGAGTTTAGCCCAAAGACACCAGGCTAAAGTGTCAACTCATCAATGTTTGTCAGTTTTAAAGGACAAATGTGATTTGTTTTGTCAAAGTGTGCTTTGACCCCATCATTGATCTTTGCGCAAAACGGAAGTTAAGGGCAGAATTCGGCATGAGTGTGGATTCAATTTTCCTTCAGTCACGCTTTGTCGGGCCACCTGATCGGCAAAGGAAAAGTCTTTTCCTCTTAGTTGCGATTCTCCGCAGGCCCTAGGTGGTTGGGAAGTTGTGTGGTTGCGTGGCAGCCAAACGGTATAAAACCGTAGTAGTTACTCTGTTTTGTTGGCTAATCAAAGTGGGATAAAATAGTTTTGAAAGTTAAATGCATTTTTCCCAGTCTGATGTGGAAGTACGTTGATTTCTGAAGAGCTTGTCGACATTTGCTGTAAATATGGAAGGAACTTGCAGATAATGTACGATAGCGTAAGGAATGGATGGATGAATAGCGTTGCTACGTAAGGTACATGTTTCCGCTTCTAACATATTTATTTATTCTTATTTCTCTAGATCCCTATCTAGTATCTGACATGATGTGCTTCGGTTCTGACAGTTCCAAAGGCATGCTTAGCTTTTCT